CGCCTGCCTCCTCTCCCCCTGTATATTTTGGCAGAGTAAGCACCTGCTGTACAGGTAAGCTGCCGCTTAATTAAAAATCATTGACTTCTGCTTAAGCAGTTGGCATACCCAATTTCCTTACACAGTGGAGATCAACCCTTTGCAGTTTGAAGTGAAATTGCCTGAAATTATGTCTTCACTTGCTGCTGATCTCACACCAGTATCAGGCTATATAAAGATGTTTTGTGCTTTTCTTTTGTTTTTACGTATTTCCCTTATGAATCATCAACCAGTAAGGCATAAGTTAAAAAAGTATTTCATCCTGAAATAGAAATTCTGCATAGATGAAATAACGATGGACCTTGTGAACTCTACAAAAGGGTCTCAAATACAGGTTTTCCACATACAAATTCTTATAACAAACACTGAGAAAATCACTTTTATAGTTGACCTGATAAAATCTTTTACTCTTGGCCTATCGTTCAAGGTTGATCGAAACTAATGTTGGTATTGTAGAAGTGTAAATTCCACATTATGAAGTAGACTATATAGGTTGGGAGTTTTATCTACCGCGGAAGGATGAAGGGCTGAGTCAACCCTGCTGGGATTTGAACCTGTGACCCAAGGGTTGAACAGATTCTACTGATGATGCATAAGCCCACTGAGTTATTTCACCAGCTAGCCCAGGTTAAAAAGTTAAACCATTCAAAATGCTTTGGCTGCTTACAATGTGGGGGCACTGTTCAACCCTGGCACCATAACCACTACATCGAGCTGTAGTGGTTGGTTATGATAATTGGACTGTTCCTTTAAAAATTATTTGTATTTTTTGGTTTTCATCATGCTGGCATCCCGCAGCAAATATGTTAGGAATGCTGTGGGGTAGGGGACGATCATTTTTATTCAGGACAAACTTCCTTTTTCTAGGATAATTCACGTCTCTCAGGAGAGGATGCGGCTTTGAATGAAAATAACACATCAATTGTCACTGTGCTTAAAGTCAGGGACATAACTGTGACTAAGACACATCCTGCTTCTTCATGAGACTTGCTCTGACATGGAGGAATGAAAACATAATGACTGAGACATGGGATTTATGCACAATTAAAAGGAAAGTTGAATGGTTTTATGGGACTGCATATTTCCTACAGAGCGGAGCAACCGCATAGAAAGCACTGTTTTTTCACGTATTTATTATTTAACTCCATCTGGATATTTGACTTGTCAGAACGATAACAGGGAATTTGCCTAACAATATCACTTAAGGAGTTAAGTGAGAAAAAAATAAATTCTTGAGAAAACACATTTGCAGAATATAAGAAAATATATGGACAACACTTGAAAGTTGTTTTTGTTTGTTTTGTTTTTAAATATTATGTTTGCGTATACCTATATTTTACAAATATATATTTGTGAGGTGGGAAAAATAAAATGAAAAGTAGAAATCCATGCCTCGTTATCAGCTGGGTGACTCCATCTTAGCTCCCTGTCATTCATTGTTTTAAGGTCTGTCTTTAGCACCTAATTGTGTACGTTTTTTTTCCCCATTGTAACATTACTAATTTGTCTTATTTCGTGAATATAATCAATGGTAAAATCATCAAAAAAAAAAAAAAGAAAGACCTCAATCAATACTGGTGTTTCATACATAAGAAAATTAAATAAAAATAGCGAATTAACAAAAAACTGTCACAAAATTGAAAATGCACACAGCAATTAATGTACGGTATAGTTATATTTATTTCTCATCTTCACTTACAATGTTTACCCTGGTTTTACTTTTTGACTTTGTCCGAACTGGGTTATGATGTGATTTGTTAAATCACATATATATATAAAAAGACAACAACAGAGTTTCTTGGGATAAAAAGTTAACACATGCTATGGGTGATTTTCAATGGTTTATTTAATGGAGTAAAATGTCAGAGTAGTTACAGTTCCCCTTTAAGGACCACACCAATAGTATTACTTTCATGGTATATAACTCGAAAGGTAACTGTAGCATTATTTCTATATAAAGCAAATAAAAGGAATGAATCAACGCCAGTCTTACTGTGCAATCAATCATTCATTTTAACATAGTCATTTTTTTTTAATAATGCCTATTTTCCCTTTTATTCTATCAAGACAAAAATGTCCCAGGTCAATGATATACATCTATTTTCTTTTACACTGAGGAAGAAAAAAAAAAAAAGCAGGTGTTTGCTACCGCATTAGCCATGATTGGCTGAGAGTGTCACCTGCGCGTTTGTGGATTCTCGTTCAGTGTTAAACCTTTCAAAAATGGTTTGACACTGAAATGTGAGCCAACATCAGACTACACTACGTACTATAACCACTTCAATGAGTTGAAGCTGTTATGGTACTTCTAGTGTCCCTTTAAATAATCACACAATAATAATTTTCATAATAAGCTAAACTTGATGTAACAAATCTTTATACGTGTAGCAATTAATTTTAAAAAAATGCTTTTTAAAACCTTCCTGTTGTCTTTTAAAATAATAAACTCCCAATTAAATCACCTGGATTCCTGTTATAACATTCCGTGAGAGCACTGATGAATTGGTAAGCAGAGGGTTAAGCACTTGTTAATCTCAGAGCCATCTGTCAGCATCCCATTTGACACAGGAAGTTTTCCATGTCACAACCTGTTTTGTCCTCTTGTAGTCTAATATCAAAGGATCATGCAGGGACCAGGAAAGTTCCTGAGCTGTGATCATGGCATATGAGGGCTTGGTATCTTCTCCTGTTCTCATCTCAATTGTAATCACCTGTTATAATTACAAACCTGCTCTGTTGCCAAATATGAATAGAAAACAAGAAGAGGCTTTATGAGAGAGTGCCACCTATGAAATGTCATCCGCTCATTACAACCCAGGGTTCATCTTTGATGTTTCAGCCAGATAGCAATGATGAGGATAGGATTAGTGAATGGAATCATGTTTTCAAAAGTTTAGGATGCAGGTTCTTGATATCAAGGTCATATCCAGACAGAAATGTTTGTGAAGTTGGACGAGTATTTCTAAAATATATAAGTTGAAAGATAATTAAGATAGAACAGTGATTAATACAACAAAATATATAATCCTTAAATGTGTTTGCATGGATTTTATTTTTAACAGGTAGTAAAAACTTTCAAAAATAATTTTACATTTTCAATCCAAATAGCTTGGAAAAATTATCCAAATCAGCTGTTTTTTTTCCCTAGAATTATTTGAAATTCACTTGAATTTCTGACAATTCACATGTTAATACATAAGCCTCTTTGTAAGTTTCTGATTTTATTGTAGAAGTGAGGTTTATCTAAAATAATGAGTAATATGATGGAATAGATCAGATAAACCTGTAATAAACAGTGCTCACTGAGTTGGCAGTGTGTAAAAAAGATTCTACAAGGTTTAACCCCTTAAAGGAACACTATAGTCACCTAAATTACTTTAGCTAAATAAAGCAGTTTTAGTGTATAGATCAGTGATGGCGAACCTATGGCACGCGTGCCACAGGTGGCACGCCGAGCCCCCTCTGTGGGCACGCGGCCATAGGTCGCCGGAGGAAGGGAGGGTGCGCTCCGCCGGCGCATCCATAAGGCGGCACAAGTGGCCGCCTTAGGGCGCACCGGCCAGGCGGGCGCAAAGCCGGAGTGACCGGCAGGAGGTGAGCGCAAAGCGCTCCCTCCTGCCAGGCACTCTGTGTAGCATGGCCGAGCGCACCGCGGTACAGGATCCTTTGTTTCTTGTACCCGGGCGGACGGGCGGAGAGCACTTCCTGTCAGCCGGGTACAGGAAACTGAGCTCCGCAGTGCGCTCGGCCACAGTACAAGGTAGGAGCTCAAGGAGGGGGGGGGACCTGAGTGGGAGAGAGATGGGGGGGGGAACTGAGGAGAGATGGGGGAAACTGACTGGGAGAAAGATGGGGGCTAAACTGAGTGGGAGAGAGATGGGGGCTAAACTGAGTGGGAGAGAGATGGGGGAGGAGAGAGATGGGGGGGGAGAGAGATGGGGAAACTGAGGGAGAGATATGGGGGGAAACTGAGGAGAGATGTGGGGGAAAACTGAGGGAGAGATGGGGGAAACTGAGGGTTTGAGAGATGGGGGCTAAACCGAGGAGAGAGATGGGGAAACTGAGTGGGAGAGAGATGGGAGGAAACTGGAGGGGAGAGAGATGGGGAAACCGAGGAGAGAGAGAGAGGGGAAACTGAGGGAGAGATGGGGAAACTGAGGGAGAGATGGGGAAACCGAGGGGAGAAAGATGGGGCTAAACTGAGTGGGAGAGAGATGGGGGAAACTGAGTGGGAGAGAGATGGGAGGGAAACTGAGTGGGAGAGAGTTGGGGGGAAAACTAAGGGAGAGATAGGGGGGAAACTGAGGGAGAGATGGGGGAAACTGAGGGAGAGATGGGGGGAAACTGAGGGGGAGAGTTATGGGGGGAACTGAGGGAGAGATATTGGGGCGGGAACTGAGGGAGAAAACTGAGTGTGGGACGGGGGAAGAGGGGGGGGGACATACACACAGCACCCCTGCCCTACACATATCACCCCACACAAAGACACCCACACATCACATCACCCCACCCACACACACACAAACACATCACCCCACACACACAAACACATACAATGTACCCCTCAATGCAGTGTGTGTACACTCAGCAGTCTGTCTGTGTGTGTACACTCAGCAGTCTGTCTGTGAGTGTACACTCAGCAGTCTGTCTGTGAGTGTACACTCAGCAGTCTGTGTGTGTGTGTGTGTACACTCAGCAGTATGTGTGTGTGTGTACTCAGCAGTCTGTGTGTGTGTGTGTATTTAGCAGTCTGTGTGTGTGTGTACTCGGCAGTCTGTGTGTGTGTGTTTTTAGCAGTCTGTGTGTGTATTTAGCAGTCTGTGTGTGTATTCAGCAGACTGTGTACTCAGCAGTCTGTGTGTGTATTCAGCAGTCTGCTAAATACAGACAGACTGCTAAGTACACAGACAGACTGCTAAGTACACACAGACAGACTGCTAAATACACACACAGAGATGTTAATTAGTTCGGACAACTGTATGAGTTGTTTTTTCTAAACTTAAACCTCAGTATTCAGGTTTAATTGCCGTTTTGGCACTTTGAGGGAAAAAAAATTGGCATGTATTACGGTTTGGGCACTCGGGCTCAAAAAGGTTCGCCATCACTGGTATAGATCATTCCCCTGCAATTTCACTGCCCAATTCACTGTCATTTAGGAGTTAAATCACTTTGTTTCTGTTTACGCAGCCCTAGCCACACCTCCCCTGGCTATGACTGACAGAGCCTGCATGAAAAAAAAAAACTGGTTTCACTTTCAAACAGATGTAATTTACCTTAAATAATTGTATCTCTAAATTGAACTTTAATCAAATACAGGAGGCTCTTGCAGGGTCTAGCAAGCTATTAACATAGCAGAGGATAAGAAAATCTTAATTAAACAGAACTTGCAATAAAGAAAACCTAAATAGGGCTCTCTTTACAGGAAGTGTTTATGGAAGGCTGTGCAAGTCACATGCAGGGAGGTGTGACTAGGGTTCATAAACAAAGGGATTTAACTCCTAAATGGCAGAGGATTGAGCAGTGAGGCTGCAGGGGCATGTTCTATACACCAAAACTGCTTCATTAATCTAAAGTTGTTCAGGTGACTATAGTGTCCCTTTAAGGACACATGACATGTGTGACATGTCATGATTCCCTTTTATTTCAGAAGTTTGGTCCTTAAGGGGTTAAACAGGTTAAGTAGATAATATCCAAAATCCAATACCCGACTTCCTGCAGTGCACTTATATCCTCTGAGAAGGTAATTCACTAAAGTTAATTCACTGAAAATTTCTAAATTTACGCCAAATTAGCAAAATTCTCCAAGGCAATTGTGTTTTCATTTTGGCTTTTTTACCTTTAAATTTTATATTCCCTTTGAATGCCCGGCAATTTCCACTTTAGTAAATAATACTGTCAGAGATTATAAAGCACAACCTTCTACAATCAGGCAATGTTTTGATCGCTAGGTGTCAGGTATAATAAAGAATATTAATGTCACTAAGGAAATACAACAAAAACAATACAAAAAGGTGTATTTATTAATAGCTATGCAGGTGCAAAAACAAGAAGTGTTGCCATAAATATTAAGTCAGTTATGCCACACGTGCCTTTCCCTTTGCTTTAATACTGCTTTCCACCTTACAGAGAAACATAGTTATCTGTCAGGACAGTAGTTTGCTCCTCTACATCTCTGCGGAAAGACTGTAAATACACTAATCCTCTTATACAATTTTGTAGTTGAGATTGCATGGCTGTATTCTAGATACTAGGGAGGGGAAGAAGTATCTGAGCAAACTTTAGACATTGCAATGATACATTCAGCCAATGTTTCTCATATAATTTAACTCTCTAACTCCCTGATAAAAACTCTCTTGGTACAAAGGCCAGATGCAAATGAAACATGATAGGACACATTAACCTTTATATAGTAAACCTTCCAAATTATTTAATACTGTTAGAAATATGTCCTAATGATCTATGTACAAAATTTCCCATTAATCTTAATGGTGACTTCTGTAGATAAAAATCACCTAAATATTTTTCTAACAATATATAATTTATAAAGCTAATTAAATCAAGGCACTGTTGGAAATTTATGTACCATGAATATGAATGCAAGAAAATACTACATATCCTTTCAAGCTCACTGAAATTCTAGATGTGGTTGGTGGAAGATAATATATACATTGCAATGGGATAGTAAGGCAACCGTTTGCAACAACATATGTGGGATATACCTCCAGCCAACATCATCAAAATATTTTGTTTGTCCAATATAGATTTAATCCACTATAGCTTTATACAGAAATTTATTTTGATAAATATTTAAATGTAATACTTAAAGGGACACTAAAGGCACCCAGACCACTTCATCTCATTGAAGTGGTCTGTAGTCTGAGTGCGCTGCCCGAGGTCCCTTTACCGGAGCAGGTAATTGTTGCAGTTTTTAAGAAACAGCAATAATTACCTGCTAGGATTAACTCCACCTCTAGTGACTCTCTACCAGACAGTCATTAGATGGACTTCTGAGCTATTATGTGACTTTTGGTCACCTATGCATGGGGACATCAAGCGTCACCCAAAACCCCATAGGAAAGAATTGCGACGCATCGCATTAGGTCTCCCCAGCCGGCTGATGTCGGCGGTGGAGGAAAAGAGGCAGATGTGAGCCAAGACCAGGTAAGTGACAAAAGGGTTTTTTATCCCCTTCTGCACCACGGGGGAGAGGGAGGAGGGGCTTGACGACTTTGTTTTCCTGGCACTGCAGTTTCCCTTTAAAAATGGGAAATTCTTCACTTGCTGCTGAGGACAGTTCTGGCAGCTAAAAAAAAGTTCATATTTATGCAAAATTTAGCAAATGCATTGTTTTGTTGCAATAATTATACACTGTACAAAGATATACATTTTTGGTCATGGAATTTCCATCCCTTTACGAGAATGCTACTTTATAAAATGCTGTTATTCACAAATATCGGCACCTAAGTTTAAAAATGTTAAAGCTGTGGCATTTATTAACTAACACAAAAGTCATAATAGTCAAGACGAAGGAAAAAACACAGCTGTTTTTGTGCTTGGCTTTTTGGCCTGGAATATTCAATTCTTAAGTTAATTCCTGTTGTAGTGAATAAACCCCATTGTGTTGTAAAAGGTTTTTCATTATATTTTTGTGAATGGCTATTTGTCACTGCTTCTCTCCCTAAAGGCGTCAGCTAGTATGTATTGTAATTTAAAACAGATATGCTACAGTTGTGATGATTTATTGTCACATTGTCCTATGCACTCACAAGTCACCTGCAATTACCCTTTTGTTATAGATGTTAATTTATGTAATGTAAATATTGATGAAGCATAGATATGTCTATCATCAAACATTCCTTCTTCCTTGTAACATACCTACTCCTGAAGGCAAAACCAGACAGCCCCCCCACACCCCTCCCAAAAAAAATTAAAGGGATAATGTAGTTAGCAAAGGATAGAGCATATTGCAGTCTGTGGCTATTGCCGCTTTGAGATCTTTCTCCAGATATTCTATCTTGGACACTCATTGATGGTTTGTGACTGTTCCCTATATTTTAATGTCTTTAGCTTTTAATGAAATCCATGCTACTTTTCTTTCTCGCTCTACATTTTCCACTAAATTCGTAGAGAGGGATTACCTTTTCTTCTGTACCAGATGATATACTTTGTGTCAGCTACAAAACAGCAAATCTTGTGGGGTGTTCCCAGTAAGAAGTGGTTGGTACCTACCAAAAGCGAAGCAAGGAAGGACCACCGGTGAGCCAGCATCAGACTTATGGGTGCTAATGGCTCATTGATGCATGTGTTGAGCGGAGGCTAACCCATTTCGTCCGATAACACAGAAGAGCTACTGTAGCTCGAATTGCTGAAAACCCAGAAAACACAGTGCATCACAGTTTGATGCATACAGGGCTGCATAGCTGCAGACCAGTCAGAGTGTCGATGATGACACCTGTCCACCCTCTAAAGTGCCTTTAATGGGGACATGAGCATCAGAACAGGACTATGGAGCAATAAAAGAAGGTTGCCGGGTCTGATGAATCATGTTTTCTTTTACAGCAGGTGGATGGTCGGTTGCAAGTGCATCCTTTACCTGGGGAAGAGATGGCCATAGAATACACTAATGGCAGAAGGCAGGTCAGAAGAGGCAGTCCTATGCTCTGGACAATGTTCTTCAGGAAAACCTTGAAGGCTCCTGACATTCATGTGGATGTTACTTTGACACGTACCATCTACCTAAAGATTATTGCAGATCAAGTACACCTCTTAATGGCAATGGTGTTCACTGATGGCAGTGGCCTCTTTCAGCAGGATAATACACGCTGCCACACTGTAAAAATTACATATGGTTTGAGGAACATGATAAAGAGTTCAAAGTGTTGCCTTGTCCTCCAAATTCTCTAGATCTCAATATGATTGAGCATCTGTGGCATGTGCTGGAACAAAAACTCCCATACATGGAGGCCCCTCCATGCAACTTGCAGAACTTAAAGGAGCTACTATGTTTTGGTGCCAGATACCACAGGAAATGTTCAGGTCTTGATAAGTTCAGACCTCAATGCATCAAAGCTGTTTTGTGAAGATGTTAGTTCCTTTGGCCTCCAATCACTACAGGTGGTGGCAATCTTTCTTTTTCCATTAAAAAGAAAGGTCACTAGTACAGTGCTCCTCCGGGCTACTAAGTGGGAGAGGATGGTTTCCTCCAGGTGACAATCAGATAGGTGGTGATGGGAAGAGGCAATGCCCAGTGTGTAAGTAGTGTGGCTATGCAGAATTGTATTTAATACTCGGCAAAGCAACCTGTTCTTGTTCTGCATTTCTTTTCAGTGATACCCTGGCTCCCATAGATGGCAATGTTTGCATAGAGGGGAAATGGCTAATATTGTGGAGACTCAAGGTGTGGATCATCTAATTTTGTGTAGGGATCAAGCCCAAGGTGTTTCTAGAAACCAGCAACACCCTGACCACAACAGAATTATATTTGATAACAGCAATGGTGATTATAGTTATATATTTCAGAACACATCCTGTGTGGCACAAATGCTGACTGCTTTTCGTTTTGAAAGTAATGGGAGATCAGGGATTAGATGAGAGATCTGGTTAGCAACCAGTTACTAAATGAGAAGGATGTAATGGTTATGGTACTTGGAGTGTTTCTTTAATGTATCATCTATGTATGGCATTATATTAAAAAGGTAAGTTCACCTTGTAATAACCCTTCAAGGTTAAAGAATCCAAACTGGATGAATATTTGAGTTGGAGTATTTTCCATGCTCTGTGATCTAAACTATTTGCACCTTATTAACTTACAGCACTAGAGGTGTAACTCAATGTGTTTCATTCCTCATTAGCCCCTCCATGAGTCTCATTCGCCCCCCCAACCCCTCCATGTGTCTCATTTACCCCATTTAGCCCCTTTGATTCCGGCTTGGAAACTTGGATGAGCATGCAGTGCTCTCTGCGCATGTGCGTTACATTACCAATGTCTTTCTATGAGGAGCATTGCATTGGACCATAGCCAGGTGCTGGAGAAGGTGAAATGTTTTATTTTATTTTTATTTTTTTTATTATTTCTATACCTAACACTTTAGTGTTCCTCTTAGTTCACCTTGGCTTCTGGACGGTGCATAAACATTTTCCATGTTCAATATATGAAAATATCTGCCAATTGTCTCGTATTTCCAGTTACAGTCCTTAGGTTGTCTCCCTTTTGCAGTGGTATTCTCCCTGTAACAAGCCCAAAACAACAAAAATATTGATGTATCAATACCATCAATGAAATTAGTCCCTATAAAAGGGCTAAGACT